CCATCACTGAGGCAAGGCCTGGCCAAGGGATGCTGCTGTTTCCAGTCTAATGCATGGAGATGCATGGATTTGGCAGCCACAGTCGAGGCTTTCAATATAACACGTCATTCCAAATTGCACCAACGATCGCCTCCTCCATTCATGGATCCAGGAGGTTGTTCGCTTTCCTCCTTCAAACTGCATTCACGCCAAAATGCAACAGAGCTCAAGTATCTGGATTCAGTGTGAAGCAATGATCCAAGAGCCAAAGAGTTGCACAGCCAGGATCAAGGTCCTCATCCTCGTCCTCTTCTTCTTCATCATCCTCCTGCTCCTGGACACATCGGCTCCATCCGAGCCAGTATCCGACGCAATGCACCAAAGAAGCCCTGCCTGTCCCTCTGGAACCTCAGGCTCATCCTCCTCACGGAACACAAGTCAAGCTTGGAATGCCCAAGCCCACAAGTCAAGCGTGGAATGGTCGAGGGGATCTGTGATTGGATTGGCAGGGCAAGCCTGATGCAAGGCCCGGCAAAATCCATCTTAGTTGCCACCCCCTTCTTCGTTGACAGCCATCCAACACACTCCTTTATTTTCAATATTGCAAGGTTGCTTGCATGAAATCAAATACTCTGTTTGTTGTTGTGGTTGTGTTGGTGTCTATGGTAGTGGTTGTGTAGGTGTTCGCGATTTTTGTTCAGGCTTGTGTGCGTATGCATGTTTGCGTTTGTCTTCCTAATTAATCCTGCTTGTGTTTGTGTTTGTGTTTGTGTTTGTGTTTGTGTTTGTGTTTGTGTTTGTGTTTGTGCTTGTGTTTGTGTTTGTGGTGGTGGTGATGGTGGTGGTGGCGGGGGCGGCGGCGGCGGCGGCGGTGCTGGCGCTGTCACTGGTGCTGGTGCTTGTGTGCGTGTGTGTGCGAGTCGTGCGTGTGTGTGTGTGTGCCTGTGTGTGCGGGTGTGTGTGTGTGCGTGCGTGTGTCTGCGTCTGCCTGTAAGCGTCTACGCGCGTGCGCGTCCTGTGCCCGCGTTCGCGCATGTGCTTGCATGTGTGCGCAGCGTGTGTGTGTGTGTGTGTGTGTGTGCGCTTGTGCGTGCGGCAAGCGTGTGTGTGTGTGCGCGCGCCAGTGCGCGTGTCTGTCTGCGCGCACGTGCGCGTATGCGTGCGCATGTGCGTGTGCATGTGCACGTGTGCGCGCCCGCGTGTGCGCGCGAGTGCGCGTGCGGGCATGCGCGTCTGGACGTGGCGCCTAAGCGGGCCTGTGTGCGGCCGTGTGTTTGTGCGTGTGTGCATGGATTTGTGCGCAGGTGTGCGTGTGCATGCGTGCGTGCGAGCGTGCTTCGGCGGGCTTGTGTGTGTGTGCCTGTGCGCGCGCGCGTGTGCGCGTGTGCGGATGGGTGCGTGCGCGCGCGTGCGCATGTGTGCGCGCGCGTGCGCGCGCGCATGATGTGTGTGTGTGTGTGTGTGTGCGCGCGTGTGCGCACGTTTGCGCGTGCGCGTGTGAGTGCCCGTCTGTGTGGGGGGGATGAGTGCGGGTTGGGGAGTGGGTGTGGGAGTTTGTGCGGGCGAGGGTGTGCGTGCGTGTGGGCGTGTGTGCGTGTGTGCGTGTGTGCGTGTGTGCGTGTGTGCGTGGTCTTGGGTTTGGGTTCTGGTGTGTGCGTGGGGGAGTTTTTGGGCGTGTGTGTGGTTGGTGTGCGGGTAGTGTGAGTATTGTGTGCGTTGTGTTGCGTGTTGTGCGTTTGTGTGCGTTGTCGTGCGTGTGGTGGTCTTTGGTGCGGAGTGTGCGCGTGTGCGCGTCTATGTGTGTTGCGCGTCGTGCGCGTGTGCGCCAGTTTGTGCCGCGAGTTGCGCGTGTTTTGCGCCGGCAACGCGACCGGTGCGCCTTTCCCCAAATGGCTGGGACGCGCCGGTGCGCGCGCGCGTTGCGCGTCGGCGTGCGCGTGCGCGTGCGCGTGGCGTGTGCGCGTTGCTGCTGCTGCCGTGCGTCGTGCAGCGTGGGGTGTGCGTGTGCGTTGCGCGGTGTGCGTGTGCGTTGGTGCTATTGGTATGTTTTTTTTGTGTTGTGTGCGACTGTTGGCGTGTGCGTGTTGCGTGTGCGTCGTTGCGTGTGCGTGTGCGTGTGCGTGTGCGTGTGCGTCGTGCGTCGGTTGCGTGGCGTGTGCGTGTGCGTTGGTGCGTAGTGGTGTGCGTGTGCAGTAGTTGTTCAGTTTTTAGTGTTGTGCGGTTGTGCGTGTGCGGTGCGCGTTGTGCGTGTGGCGTGTGCGTGTGCGTTGTGCGTGTGCGTGTGGTGTGTGTGTGTGTGCGTAGTGTGCCGTCGTGTGTGTTGTGTGTGTCTGCGTCTCCGTGCGCGTGGCTGTGTTTGTGCGTGTGTGTGTTTGCCAGTTCTGGTCGAGGTGGTGGGTCAGGTGAAGATAGTTCTTCCTCGAGCGTGTGTCCGCGCACAGCGCGTGTGTGCGTGTGGGCGTGTGTGTTTGTGTGTGTGTGTTGTGGTGTGTGTGCGAGTGTTGATGTGGTGTTATTGGTTAAGTGTGTGTGTCGTCTGTGTGTCGTGTGGCTGTGGGTGGCGTTCGTGCTGTGTGTGATGAGCGCAGGTGTGCGGTACGCTGTGTGTGTGTGTTGTGTGTTTGTTGAGTGTGTGTGAGTGTGTAAGTTGAGCTGTGTGTTGTGTTGCTGTGGATGTGTGTTGTGAGGTGCGAGTGTGTGTGAGTGTGGTGATGTGTGGGCGTTTGAGAGTTTGTGTGTACGTGGGTGGAGTGGGTGGGGGTTGGGGGGTGTGTGTTGGTGTGTGTGTGTGTGTTTGTTGTGGTTGTGTTTTCCTGCGCGCGGTGTGTGCGTGCGCGCATGCTTGCGCGCGTTGTGCTCTCTGCGTAGGTGCTTGCGTGGGTGCCTGTTGGGTGGTATTAGTGGGATGTCCTTATTGTGTGCGGCGGGCGTCGTGCGTGTGGCGTGTGTTCGTGCGGGTGTGTGCCGTGTGTGCGCGCATACGCGCGCGTGTGCGATCGCGAGCATACAAACCTGTCCCGCACGCGCGCGTTTCGTTGTTGTGGCGTGGCGCGTGGCGCTTTGTGGTGTCTGTGCGTTGTGTGGTGAGTTTGTGCTGCGCGCATGTTGCGGCGCGCGGTGGGCGTTGGTTCATATGGGGCAGTGTGCGTTGAGCGCGAGGATGGTGCATGTTTGAGCGCGTGGGGTGGGTGGGTATGTGTGCGCGGTCGTACATGCGCGCGCGTGTCTGTGTGTGTGTGTGGGTGTTGGGCGGCGCGCGTGAATATTAGTGCGTGTTGTTTGCGCGCAAGTTGTGTGGATGTTTGTGGTGCGCGTGCGCCGGCGCGCGCGGTCGCGTGTGTGTGTAGGTGTGAGTACATGCAAGTGTGCGTGTGGTTGCGCGTGTGCGAACGTGTGTTATAGGTGTGTGTGTGTCTGGGTGTGTGTTGTGCGGCGGTGTTGTTTTCGGTGTTTGTTACGCTCGTGTGTGGACTGTGTTGCGTTGCGCGTGCGCGGCGCGCGACGGTTCGCGCGTGTGTGTGTGTGTGTAGGTAGTAAGTAATGCATTGTGTGCTTGTGAGCCGCGTAAAGGATCAGTATTGTGCGCCACACGTGTGTTCTAGTGTGTGTGTGAGTGGTGTGGGTGTGTGTGTGTGTGTGGTGTGTGTGTGGGTGTGTGTGTGGGTGTGTGTGGTGTGTGTGTGGTGTCGTGTGTGTGTGTCGTTGTGTTTGGTGTGTGTGTGTTGTGTGTGTGGGTGTGTGTGTGTGTGTGTGTCGAGTGTTGTGTGAGTGTTGTGTGTGTGTGTGTGTGTGTGTGTGTGTGGGGTTGGTGTGTGTGTGTGTGTGTGTGTGTGTGTGTGTGTGTGTGTTGTGTGTGTGTGTGTTGTGTGTGGAGTGTGTGTGTTGGTGTGTGCGGTCGTGTTTGCGCGGCCGCGGCGTCGTGAGTTGCGACGTGTTGTGTGGGTGGTGGGTGTTGGTCTGGGGTGTTGGTGCGGGCAGTGTGTGTGGTGTGTGTTCTGTGTTGGTGTCTGTGTGTGTGTCTGTCGTGTGCGTTTGCAGTGCGTGCGCGCGTGTTTCTGCAGGTTGCGTTTGTGCGCTTGCTGTGCGTTGTGTGGTGTGTGTGTGTGTCTGTGGTGACGTGCGTGCGGCGCTGTTGGGATGTGTCGTGGTTGAGGTTTGTGCATGCTGCTGGGGTTTTTGCAGGGAGTGTGCGCGCGAGTTGTTGCGTGTGGGTATGTTGCGCGAGTGTGGGTGTGTGTGTGTTTGCGCGCGCGTGTGCGTGGTGCGCGAGTTTTTAGTGTGTGTGTGTGTGTTGTGTGTGCGCCCCTGTGTGTGTGTGTCGTGCGTGCGCGCGCGCGTGCGTTGCGTGCCGTTGGTGAGTGGTGAAGTGCGTGAAGTTGCGTGAAGTGCCGTGAGTGCGTCATTCCTGCGTGCAAGAAGTGCCTGTGTGTCTGTGGTGCGTGTAGTGTGTGGTGCCGTGCGTCGAAGTGACGCTAGTGTTGGCGTGTGCGTGTGTCGTCTAGTGTGCGTATGGTGCGTGTTTGCGTGTGCGTGTGAGGTGTGCGCTGCGCTCGTGGCGCTGTTGCGCGTGCGCCAGTTGAGCGTGCGCGCGTGCGCCGTGCGCGCGTGTCGGCGTGCGGGCGTGTGGGCTGTGGGGCGCGTTGTGGGCGCTACGTGAGTCCTTTGTGTGGGCGTTTTGTGGGCGTCGTGGGCGTGTAGGGCGTCATTGTGGGCATTTTGTGGGCTGTGTGGGTCATAGTTGGGGCGTGTTGGGCGTTGTGGTGCGTCGGTGGGTGTGTGGGTGTGTGGGTGTGTGGGTTGTGTGTGTTGTGGTTCGCGCGCGCGTGCGCGTTGCGTGTGACGTGTGCTGTTATCGCGTGCAGCGTGCGCGTGCGCTGTGCTCGCGTGCGCGTTGCGCGTGCGCGATTTGCTGTGTGCGATGGCGTGTGGGGTGTGGGTGTGCGTGCAGCGGTGCTGTGCGTGTTGCGTGTGGTTGTGCGTCGTGCGTCGTTGCGTGGTTGCGTGTGTGTGTGTGTGTGTGCGTTGTGCGTGTGCGTTGTGCGTGTGCGTTGTGCGTGGTGTGTGCGTGGGTGTGTGTGTTGTGTGTGAGTGTGTGGTGGTGTTGTGTGCTGGTAGGGTGTGGTATGTGCGTGTGTCGTGTGTTGTGGTGTGTCTTGCGTGGTTTGTGTGTGTGTGCACGTGAATGTGTTTTTTTCGTGTGTCGTGCGTGTGTTGTGTGTGCGTGTGTGTGTGCGTGCGGTGCGCGTGTGGTGTTGCATTTGCATTGCGTTGCGTGTGTTGTGTGTCGTGTGTGTGAGCGTTGTGCCGTGTGTGTATGTCTGTGTGCGCTTGCTGTGTTGCTTTTCATGGTGTGGCTGCTTTTTGTGGGTGGCGTATGTAGGATGCGTGTGTAGTGTGTGTGTGGGCGGCTCATGCGTATGTCATGCTTCTGTGCGTGTTGTTGCGTCGTGGGTGTGTGCGTGTGGGTGTGTGGGTGTAGTGGTCTGGAGTGGGTGTGTAGGGGTGTGGGTGTGGGTGATGGTGGGTAGTTTTGGGTTGTGGGTGTGGTGTGTGGGTGTGGGTGTGTGTGTGTGTTGGATGTGTGTGTGTGTGTAGTGTGTGTGTGTGGTGTGTGTGGTGTGTGTGTGGTGTCTCTGTGTGTGTGTGTGTGTCTCTGTGTGTGTGTCTCTGTGTGTGTGTCTCTGTGTGTGTGTCTCTGTGTGTGTCTGTGTGTGTGTCTGTGTGTGTGTCTCTGTGTGTGTGTGTGTCTGTGTGCCTGTGAGCGCGTGTGCGTGTGTGCATGCGCGCATGTGTGCGAGTATGCGTGTGTGCGCGTGTATGCGTGTGTGTGTGTGCGCAACGTGCGTGTGGGTGCGTGTGGGTGCGTGTGTGGGTGCGTGTGTGGGTGCGTGTGTGGGTGCTTGTGTGGGTGCGTTGTGTGGGTGCGTGTGTGGGTGCGTGTGTGGGTGCGTGTGTTGGTGCGTGTGCGGGTGCGTGTGTGGGTGCGTGTATGGGTGCGTGTGTGGGTGCGTGTGTGGGTGCGTGTGTGGGTGCGTGTGTGGGTGCGTGTGTGGGTGCGTGTGTGGGTGCGTGTGCGGGTGCGTGTGGGGAACCAATCCAATCGGGGAACGCCAATCGGAGAACGATGAATCCAATCGGGGAATGACTGTCGGAAATCAATCGTAGAACGTCATGGCGCCAATCGGGGAATGGCCGGGGTCCAATCGGGGATTAATCGTCGACAGGTTTGTTGGCTGTGTCGCTGTTATTCAGGTCTCACGTGCGCAGCCACGTAGCAATTGACGGAGGATCAACGGAGTGACGAAGGATCGACGGAGAATTGACGCAGAGTTGACGGAGGATGGACAGGGAAATGACGCAGAGTTGACGGAGGATGGACTGAGATTTGACGGAGAATTGCCGGAGAATTGACGGAGGATCGACGGAGAATTGACGCAGAGTTGACGGAGAATTGACGGAGCGTTGACGGAGAATCGACGGAGCATTGACGGAGGATTGACGGAAAACTGACGGAGAATTGACGGAGAGTTGACGGAGAAGTGACACGGATGATTGAAGGGGAAGAGATTGGAAAAATGATGGACCACTGTCCGGGGATATTGAAAAATTCGGAGAATTTTCGGGATTTCCCGGACGACGGAGCACTCACGGCCAGCCGGCGCAGAAATGACGGAGAATTGACGCCGAAGCGACGGAGAATTGACGGAGGATTGACGGATTGACGGAGGATTGACGGCAAAGTGACGGAGATTTGACGGAGAATTGCCGGAGAATTGACGGAGGATCGACGGAGAATTGACGCCCGGGGATATTGAAAAAATCGGAGAATTTTCGGGATTTCCCGGCTACGGTGCACTCAGGGTCAGCCGGCGGAGGAATGACGGAGAATTGACGCAGAAGCGACGGAGAATTGACGGAGGATTGACGGATGGACGGAGGATTGACGGAGGATGGACGGCAAAGTGACGCAGATTTGCCGGAGAACTGCAGGAGAATTGACGGAGGATCGACGCAGAACTGACGCCCGGGGATATTGAAAAATTCGGAGAATTTTCGGGATTTCCCGGACTACGGAGCACTCACGGTCAGCCGGCGGAGGAATGACGGAGATTCTCCAGGAATTGACGCCGAAGCGACGGAGATTTGACGGAGGATTGACGGAGAGTTGACGGAGGATCGACGGAGAATGGACGCAGAGTTGACGGAGAATTGACGGAGCGTTGACGCAGAATCGACAGAGCATTGACGGAGGATCAGGAAAGCCTAAAAGGAATCGCGGCCAGCAGAAAGAGTCACCCCGCCACAGAAAACCCTAAAAGGAATCCCGGCCAGCAGAAAGAGTCACCCCGCCACAGAAAACCCTAAAAGAAATCCCGGCCAGCAGAAAGAGTCACCCCGCCACAGAGAACCCTAAAAGAAACCCCGGCCAGCAGAAAGAGTCCCCCGGCAAAGGAAACCCGAAAAGGAATCCCGGCCAGCAGAAACACAGGACACCTTAAAAGGAATCTCGGCCAGCAGAAAGAGCCATCCCGCCACAGGAAACCCTAAAAGGAATCCCGGCCAGCAGAAAGAGTCACCCCGCCACAGGAAATCCTACAAGGAATCCCGGCCAGCAGAAAGAGTCACCCCGCCACAGGAAACCCTAAAAGGAATCGCGGCCAGAGAAAGAGCCGACCCGCCACAGGAAACCCTAAAAAGAATCCTGACAAGCAGAAAGAGTCGACCCGCCACAGCAAACTCTAAAAGGAATCCTGACCAGCAGAACGAGTCCACCCGCCACAGGAATCCTTACCAGCAGAAAGAGCCGAACCGCCACAGGAAACCCTCAAAGCAATCCTGAACACCAGAAAGAGTCGACCCGCCACAGGAAACCCCTACACCAAACCCTGAAACCAAACCCTGAAACCTAACCCTAAACCAAACCCTGAGTCATTCCTGCACAACCACAGCCATTCGCGACTAGCTGTTGATATTCGCGGATGGGTCCCGCGTCAATCGCTGATTGGCACGCGTGTGTTCGCAGATTGGCCGTCGCTGATTGGGAGTCGCCGATTGGGGGCACTGTTCGCTGATAGGCATTTCCCCCGGTGCGTGTGTGGGTGCTTGTGTGGGTGCGTGTGTGGGTGCGTGTGTGGGTGCGTGTGTGGGTGCGTGTGTGGGTGCGTGTGTGGGTGCGTGTGCGGGTGCGTGTGTGGGTGCGTGTGTGGGTGCGTGTGTGTGGGTGCGTAGATCCTTGCGCGTGTGCGTGCGCACGTGCGCGTGCGCGTGCGCGTGCGCGTGCTTGCGTGCGCGTGCGTGCGTGTGCCTGCGTGCGTGTGCGTGTGTGCGTGTGCGTGTGTGCGTGTGCGGGTGTGCGTGCGCGGGTGCGCGTGCGCGGGTGCGCGAGCGCATCGTGAAGCTTTTACAATTACTCGTTCTGCCTGATGGATCCATTTGATTGATCTGTGCCTTTTGTACCAGCTGCACTACCTGAGTCATACCACACAAGCTGTGCAGTGATCAGCCTGAATCATGGACTTTGCTGAAGTGACCGCTTCTGTTTTTGTGGAATGGATTTAACTGGATGCGCGTCATGCAAGCTAAAACAATTGGAACAATCCTGGCAAAAATGGTGGCAAGTTTCACTTACAGCCAAATTCGGCCCTGGGCAACTTCTGAATGCAAGTCCGAAGCGATGAAACAAAGAGTTTCTACTCCCAGGAATCCTCTTCTCTTCTGAATCGTAGGCGATCCCTCAACCGCATGAGCTCTGCCTCAGAGTGCAGGACAGGGAAGGTTCATCAGTCCTGGCCTCTTTTGTCAGGCTCCCGCGAAAAGGCCTTCTCGCCGTGAGCTAAGCTCTGCAGTCAGCCTGGCAATGTCGTTATCTGCGCATTTGCTCTATCGCCGCCCTTTGCCTGCCCGCCGGGCTAAGCTCCAGCGGCGCGTCCCGACGGCCTGCGTTTGAAGAACCATAACGCAAGTCTCAGAAGGGAGAGACCTGAGGCTTGACACACTCTAACCAAGCAAGGTAAACATCAAAGCCATGCAATGTTGAGTCACAAGAAAGCATGCTCTGGGAAAGCATGCCAGAATGGCTCAGCGTCAGGGATTGAGAACGCTCCCTTGCAGAAAATGAAGCATTCAAAAAGCACAGTGGCGCAATCTTACAGCAAATGCTCAGAAACGGACTGGTGGTGTGGGGCCTGAGCGTGGACCTGAGGCCACTTGGAGCAGCGAAACTGCTGTTGCAGCACCTTCCTGATTGAAGGCGCAGGCGCGAGCAGCTGGCACACGCTCCCAAAGCACCCCCTGGCAAACAAAAAGCTAAAGCCAAGGCTTTCAGTACTATGCTTACTTCTTGATGCTTGAATTCGCTTCCAAATGGAGCATGCCCTGGATCTGCTTAGTCCAGACCAAATGCATCACTTTGTTTTGGGAAGGACGAGCCTGGTCGTCAATGACATCACAAGGTCTTCCAGGTGTGGAGGCCTGTCCCCGAGTACCTGGCAAGGCGGCATACGTGTGTTTGCGCATTGGTAAAGTCTAGGCAGAATATCCGGGCATCGCTTGGAGTGGTTTCGACGCAATGAACACCGCTCTCGCCTTTTGTCAAAAATCCGCCCGTACGCTAAGCATCCCTCCCACTTGCGGCACCTCCGCTGGGAGCGCTTGGAACTGCACCAGGCCTTTGGCTGCCACACGGCTGCTTTCTTTCCCAGCGCAAGAGAACGCACGAAGGGTCACTGCTCCATTTGCAACAAAGCGCAAGACTGCACTCTACATCCTACACCCTTCCCAAGGGCTTTGCGGCACGAGTCCATGACCAACTACAACACCTGCAAAGGACAAAGCAACACACCAAAAACAGAGAGCGAGAGCAGAATCATAGCCTGGCACCCAGTTGTCCCCGCGGGGCTGGAATTGCACGCGAGCTCCGACTGCCACCTCACAAGCAAGACTCTCGCGTCGATTTCCGCGTCACTCGCATGATGATAGTGGGTCAAAAATCAGGACGGTGCATGGTCACCTTCTTTCTTGTCTCTGTCAGCTTTGATCTCCTGCGCTGCAGCCTGGTCTACTGACCTCAGGCCACACAGCAGCTCGTGCCAAGCTTTTCATCAAAAAAGCACAATGGCGGTTCTATGGCTCTAGCACTGCTGATTGAACCACGTGACCAACACCTTAAGTTTCATCGATCCAAGTTGCAAGGCCAAAGTCGCAAAAAATAAGTGTGGGACGTGCTGCTAGCATTTCTGCTTCTTCTAGAGTTAGCCGTGTCGCGAGCGGGCCCATGCCGTTCTGTTGTACTCCCGCCTGCGCAGCTGCGCAGGGCGTCCAGTCCTAAAACCACGCCGCGCAAAAGTGCCTGGATGGCACTCTCTGACGAATGATGGCCTCGTGGGCAGACCTCGCTTGCGTGAGTGCTCAAGTGTGCAAGTGCACAAGCGCGCAGGGGCATTCGACAGTGCATCCAGCGCCTCCCGAACTGCTCCCAGAATATCGTCACCTGACATCACGTCAGTCAGCTGTTTGGCTGTGGAAAAGCTGCGCTCAGATGCAGACGCACCATTGGCCAGAACACGTCGAACGGGATCTCGTCAGAAGCCACGAGAGACACTGTGTGCGCCTTGGAATCACTTGCTCTCTCTAGTTCAAGACCATTGCACCAAATCAAAAGCAATTTGCTCAGCAAGCACCAAACATGCATAAGCTAAGCGAACCATCCTGCCAGTCACGGTCGTTCACGATCAAAGCTCCCAGCCCGCATGTGAGGGTGCACCGTGTTGTCCGAGGCAGTTGCATTCCCTGGATAAACTCAAGCTGCACACAAAGTTACGCAGAGACCAGCATTGTGCCAGGCCATGGTCATTCATGGCTTCTTACAACTGGAATGGGAATATGGCATGTGGTTTGCACCACACAAAGCAACGTTTGATGCTGACTGTTGCTCACTTAAAGCGACAAGATGTCAGGCCTGATTTTGGAGCATCCGCAGCTGCAGCCACACGTGCCAGCTCGGCATCCAAGATTTCACCTGAATTCGAGTGAGCCATCGGCAATCTCGGCAAAGGACGACGTGAACAGAGGCGCGAACAGGCGTCTGGAAGAGACTTTGCAGCGACCATGGCGGCATCGCGCAAGGTCTCCACCTAGCAGCGGTATTGACCAAGCTTTGATGACTCTTAAACGAATGAGTCGCTTGCTGAGCAACACAGCGAGATCTCTTGTTTAGCAATGATGAAAACTGTCATGAAGTATCAGAAGACATCTAGCCCAGTTGCCCTGCAGCTTGTGAGGTGCAAAGAACAATGGACCGCCAAGTCAGACTGATTACACTTTGTCGCAACATAAGCTGGTATAGTCATCTGCCCAAGGAGCCTCAGGAGAAAGTGTCAGCGACTCCTCCATGTCACTGCTCAGAAAATCCTGATGCGCCAGGCTGTGCAAAACTCGGCAAGAAATTCTGGATGTCCAACAAATGATCCCACAAATGGTGACTTGTCCTTTGTTTCTGCTTGCAAAACCAAACCGGGGCCCTGTCACAACACATGCAGCTTGTGCCTGGATAGAGCTGCGCATCGCCTTCACCACTGCATGGTACATGGTTGATCCGGCCTGAATCGTGTCGCCAACACACCATGACGAAAGGAATCTCATTGCACAGAAAAGCTGAATCTTGCAGCCGACATGTGTCTCTTGTACCTGACTCTACAGGGCACAAACCGATCTGCCACGCGCTGTCACAGTCCACATCAGCAGCCACGCGCAACTGCAAGAAGTATCAACCAAGAAACCAAGCGTCAGCAGACATGGGCAACCATGATGGGCAGCCAGTTGGCTGCAATTCACAACCAGAGCAACTAACAGGGTGCGAATACAGAGCAAATATACTTGTCAAAAGCAGCAACCACTCAAAAGCTGCCATCAGTAAAAAACAAAAGAGAGGCAATAATCACGCCACGTGTGCAACCGCGAAAGCTACAAATTGCCCACATCCACCAACAGGCAGTGATGATGAACACAAATAGGTTGGCCACTGCAAAGGTCATTCAACATCAGCCATCTCATTCACTGTACTCATAATGACATACTATATTCCAGCGTTGTGAAATGATTGACCCCAAAGCAAGCATAGCTAAGCAAATAGCCCCGGCAGAATTTGCAGCAATCACAAATATGCCGATAAAAGCATCGAACTAAGAGCCCAGCTGCTACCTGGAGCCGTGCCAGATGTACGCAGAGCTCGTTGGCTGTGTTCGGAGCTGTGAGCCTCAATCAAGGCTTTCGGGCTATTGAGGGGTTACATGCCCGGTCGTGGATCACCGTTGCATTCGGTGAAGTCGCATATTTCGTTCTTCTAGGCAAGCTCTTTGAGGTCGCCACAGCTGGTGCTCACGCATGGCCAGCAGCACCTTCTGTGCGTCTTTGCCGGGGCCTTGGCTCGAGCATGCAAATGGGGCTCGAGTCCAATGTGCTAGCCAAATGGTTTGTGTACGTGTGGTTCTGTGTAAGTTGCTGTGTATTACTATTGTGTCTACGTTTATGTCTACTACATGTGTATGCGAAGGTGTATGAGTGTACTGTTTCTGAGAGCTTTGCCAACCGCGCACTCACCAGCCCTGAGTGCTGCTTCTGCATCAAACAATATTCGCACGTTTGTTTTGTTTTGCGGCATCTAGAGGCAGGTTGCCAACCTGCACGGTCCTTGCGTGATGCTGCGCGCATCACCAACTTGATTCGCGGGGGCATCTACGCCGGGGTGCTGCGTGCGCGTCACCAACTTTATTCACACGATTGCTTGGCAGCCTTGAGATTCTGCAGGTTGGCAACCTGTAGAGTCCTTGTGTGTGTGTGTGTGCGTGTGCATCACGCGCTTGATTCGCACGTTACTTGGCGGCACGTTTGCTTGGCAGCATCTAGGCTTCAGATCCTGCAGGATGCCAACCTGCAGGGCGCTTGGTGGTGAGTGCGCATCACCATCGTTATTCGCATGTTTGTTTGGCGGCGTCTCGGCTTGAGATCCTGCAGGTAGGCAACCTGCACAGTTATTGCGTGTGTGCATCACTAGCTTGATTCGCACGTTTGCTTGGGGCATCTACGCCGGGGTGCTGCGTATGCATCACCAGCTTTATTTGCATGTTTGCTTGGCAGCATCGCTGGCAACCTGCAGGGTCCTTGTGCATGTGCATCACCAACATGATTCATGCGTTTGCTTGACTGCATCTAGGCTTGAGATCCTGCAGGATGCCAACCTGCAGGATCCTGCTGCGTGTGCATCAAACATGCGCACGTTACCAACCTGCAGGGTACTTGCATGCATCACCAGCATTATTGTGATGGCTTGGCGACGTCTCGCATCGCCAGCATTGTTCGCATGATGTTTGCTTAGCGACATCTTGGTTTGAATCCTGTGGCTTGCTAAACCTTCAGCATACCCGGCCTTTTGCCGCATCATTTCCCCGGCTTGGACTTTCAGATTCTTACAGCGTTTCTCGTCAAGTTTGAAGACTTCGTTTCCACAAGAACGACAAACTTCCCGCATCTTCAGTTTGCAAGCTCACCTGGATTGTTGGCTTTGGACACTTGAGCAGCCCCCTCAAAACTCTGCCTTTCAGACTCCCCGAAAGATTCAAGATTCCCCACAGCAAAAAAACGATATCTCGAACTCTTGGTCAAAGTCTGAAGCTGCATTACTCGAAGTCTGTGAGTTTCCAGAACTAGGCTTCAAGGTTGTTGAAAAACGTCTGGAAAGCTGGAACTTGAGCCGTGAGAATCTGTCAAAATCAAACCGTTGGCGCTCAGGATTCAAGATGTTACGCTGTGTTTCTTTTCTGAGGAGTCAGTACAGTGTGTCTCGAAGCGAGTCTGAGGCATCAGCGCTGGATTGTGTGGATTGGAAGCGGAATCTCTCCAATCAAAACCTGCATCAGGGTCCAGCGCGCAATCAGTCACCAAGCACCGATTAAATTGTGTTTGTGCGACCCATCCACACCTCTGTTCAGTGAAAGCCCCAAATCCAACACTCATCGTTTACTGTGAGTAAGGGAGTAAGGGACGACACAGGTCTCTATTGCCCCCTAAGGGCCAAGGTTTACATGATGATAATCCTCAGAAGCCCAGAGCCACACGCTTGCAACATTGTGATGGAACGTCACAATGACAATTGCAGTACACCCCGCCAGCCTCAAAGGCTGTCACTGTGGCCTTCTCCCAGTCAGCGCTTGAATTTGTTCGCCTGTCAACAGAGAGTAACAAATCTTCGCCGTATCCATAACTCACATGATGCTGGCAACAAGCAAGTCGTTTCAAGGAACGATGTTGGCCAGCTTTGGGTAATTATACTAGCTGGAAGTTGCCACTAGCTGCTGAAGTAGCTATAAACGGCTAGGCAGCCATTGGCATTGGGCACTCACTTCTCTCGAGGATTGCGGATGACAATACAAAGAAATTCAGCTTAAGATTGTTGAACCAAAATTGTCGAGCTGGGGCCACGACTCTAGAATGTTGGCTCCAACTATCGAGTGGCAGTAGGACAAGAACCTGGGCTGGGCCTCTTCTCTGAAAACATCGACAAATCTCTGTGGCAGCGACCCCTCTGCCACAACTGGTGTCACTCGCAGTAGATATCGTCGCAGCTCACTGATGGGTGCCTTAGTTCAACGGTGTCTGCACACAAAGGCAAGTCAAGCAAACAAGTGTAAGAAGTATATCTTAGGCTTGGACTATCGGTTCTACTGGTACCGAGAACCTCACGCATGTCTACAGGTATATACTCAACGAAAGCCTCATGGTTGCAACTGATATTGCGTGGCTCGCAAGGCAAATGAGCCCTTGCTTCATTGCTGCTGGATCTATCTAGTCATCTAGTCCCATGCAAACGAGAAGCTGCTTTGGAGACGAGTGCACATGCCTGAAGCAAGCAAACTGCAAGTCTGCAGCAAGTCTGCAAGTGCAGAGGTGCAAACGCGCCTGACTTTGAGATTCACGGGGTCGGTGAGAGCTCGTAAACCGCGCCTTGGCGCCGAAGAGAATACAGTGAATTGCCAATAAACACACTTTGCTTTGGGCTGCATGTATGTCGCTCGCTGTGCTCTGGTAAGTTTCCAACTCGCGCTTCTGATGCCAGACCGGAAACTTTTCTCCTATCTCGATGATTGCCTGGCAAGCATCCGGCAGATCCGTACACCCACACTCTCAATATGTACATCTGCACATGGGCCAGCATAGGCTTCCCCCAAAATGGTTCTGTCAACTGAGGCGATAACAACAAACAACGAACGCCACAACCAACGAAAAACAACTCCGCTGGTTGCGCTGACCCAGTGCGTTTGGATTGTGAATCCGCCATTGGAGGCTCATGCCCTCGCATCCACTATTGCAAGAAGCCGCTGCTTTCGCGGTCACACATGCAAAGTCTGCCACGGAGTAACCCAAGCTTCTTTGCAGATCCCTTTCAAGAAGAAACAATGTAAACAAGGGTCCACAATCAGGTAGCCGGGAACTCAGTTGGCCCAACTCTTCACCTACCTGGGCGTTGAAGTACATCTTGGTAAATTTCGTCCAAGTGGCATGCAGTGTGCGGATGAGCTGCTTCATGCCGCCGGGCACCGAGGAAAGTGCCTTGCATCTTCAAATGGCTCCCCGCAAAACGAAACATTCCATGGTGGCCATCTTGCGGACAAATGGCCAGCCATTAGTATCAAGAACCACAGTATGCACTCTCGGGCACTGTTTAGGGTACGTCGTCAGCATGAATGTTCTGATTCTCAAATGTTACACGGGATACCTGGATGCACACTGTGTCATGCAACCAAGGCCTCTGGCCTTGGTCAAGCATTCCCAGCTGTTGACATTGATGGAGCGTCTGTCCTGAATTTTCAAAATAATCAAACATCGGCCTTGCAGACACATTGAATGCCTTTACAAGGTTTTGCGCATGCAATGCACATTCTACCAACAGTAAACATCATACTCGATCAATCCGGGGTAGAGCTCCGACATTGCGGGTACGCTGACCGAACAACGGATGGCACCGTGTCCCAAAGCCAGCGCCTCAGGTTCTCCGCATCTCAGAAAGCTCCTGTGGCAAAAGAAGAATTGGATGAAAGAGGCTCAGATGCCCATGTCGTCAAAAGATCCAATGGGTGCCCAGTCGGCAAACTGAAAATGGTACAATGACAATCTTGCGGAGCAGGGCATGCAGCCAAGGCCGAAACACTGCGAAGTTGAATGCCGGGTGCGGTGCACTGTTTGTGGGTCAGCCGACAACACGCATCGTACAGAGGCTTATATGGGAATTTGACTCAACTTTCAGCAACGTGTTCAACCCTCATCACAGCCAACCAGCCTTCAAATGTTAACGGGTTGCGCCGTGCCGTGATCCATCCCGGATACTACTGTAGATGGTTCAAACGCGTGAATCTAGCAGCCTGGCAATGGTCAAGGACTTTTTAACGCACCACTATGATCAAGGACTTTTTGTGATGGCTGAGGAAGCAGGCGGTCGAAATCAATGGTAAACTCCAATGAAATGCTCAAACCTCGACAAAACCAAGCAATATGGGCTTGAAATCTGCTTAGGGACCCTTTGGTGGACATCATTTAAATTTAGGTGGGGATTCATGTCCACCAACCACGTTGGAGGTGGCTCCCCATTGAAAGTCATAGGCATACGTCACATGCATAGAAATGCAACATGGCACGAATGCACTACGTTTTGAAGTCGAGCAGTCAGGCATGAGAAACGAGATCAATCAAATGGAACACAACGTTTCAAAGAGAACATCCAAGTCAGCACAATCCCAAGCCACTGGGGCTCCAAGCAGGAGGTGACCTGCGAGGTCCAGCTTTTCGAAGGCATAGGCCTTGCCAAAGAGGACTGGCTTCAAAGAGTTCAGAATGCTTCGCTTCGAATGCTTCGCTTCGAATGCTTGGAATACGTCGCAACCCCCAAAATTGTGAGGTCCCGGTCATGCCAGAGGCACTCAAGCAGCTCTGACAGCAATAAGGTCCAGGCATGGGAAGCTTGGCAAATGAGGCGCGCGCTGTGCACATGTTGGTGGCGCGCAGAAGGTCCAGCCCGAGCAGGCCGCTGGGGATGTCGCCGTCCATCTGCCAAAACATGTCACATGTGTAAAGTGTGAACCTCTGTGTAACCAAAAACAAAAAAGAAACCTTCAGCATGAATCGGCACCGCTGAAGCCCGCCAAGCTGAAATTGTCTTGGCTTCCCTTAGTGTAGACCGCCTCTAAGTAGTGCCGAAGCCTCAGCAAGACAAGCGATCAACCTTCACCGCAGGACTTCAAAAAATATCAGACTAAACTAGCACCTCAGTGGGCGTATTAATTTTATGCAGTGGTACTCCGTGCTGTTCATGTGACAAGGCTGGCTCTCCCCTCTTTTGTTACAGTATGAAAGTTCGGTTTCTCGACAATGGGAGCACCGTGCCGAAATCTTTCCAGAGCAAACGCTTCATGAGGGCAGGGCCGTTGCAGCGCCTCAAGAGTAGAGTCAGGAGTGCCACGAGCATCCGCCCTGCGAGTTTGACATCTGCGCAGGGTACGAAAGAAGGCGCGTGATAAAGAATACCAAGAAGGTTGAGCTTTGTAAGCGGCAAGTTGTTGTCATGATTTCAGATGCCATCCTGAGAGAAGACTTGACTTACACAAAAGCCACGTGGTCGACGTGGTAGAAGACAGCTTGAGAAGGCTGGGTGGCTTTCAATTCGCCTCGGCAGGGCCGGGAAGCGGTCACCCAGTCAGACCCACATCCCCCACCACACATGTCGCGCAGCTAAACCCATGCTCCAGCTGCTTGCAGCCCCTCTAAAGCGAGCCCCAGATCCTTCTTGAGCTCATCGGAATTTTCTCAAACCACATCTCACCGACTTGTCCCCCTTTCAATCCACGTCCAGGCTTGGCACTCACGTTGGTCAGGGCTGGCCTGGCCTGGGCACTGTTGGCCCTCATTTGGGCGCAGCGTCCTGCCTTGGACTTCCGGCTGGTCCTAAGCCCAACCTCAACGTCCTCAACCCCTAGTTCCTGGCCTCAGCCTGCCCCGCCCAGCCCAAGGCTTGGCCCCAAGCTAGACTGCGGCTCTCGCAGCCCATATGCACCCATCTTGGAAAACAGCTCGCGCATTTCGGTGCCGACTCACTCACTCAACACACAACACTTCAAGGCAAACCAAAACACCGTACGTCAAAGCCAACCAAAAGTACAGTGGCCGAGCCGGGCAGCGCGAAGCGTTTACAATAAAGTGAGGGCATCTTTGATAAACTGACTGCGATCAAGCATGTCTTAGCCTGCAGGGTGCGCGTCCTGCCATTTTAACGAGCTGATCTGTGTTCCATCTGGTTCAAAGCTGGCCACGTCATCAAAATGTCGAGAGCTCTTGTTCTGCACACTGTGTCGCGTGTTGCTCAGGTTCATGTGACCGCAGAACTGTCAGCTGAAAGCAGGTTCATGTGACCGGACTCGCCCACGATTGTAGAACTGTCAGAAAGCTTTGGAAGCTCCAGTTAAGCGTCACTGTGCATTCCCGATTCCGGATCGGAGGTGCTCCAGGCTGTGGTTTCTGTGCTTTTTTTTTCTATGGCGGCTTGAGGCACATCCTTGCAGCTCAAACGCATGTGTTCCGGGGGGGGCCTGCCAACAGCAGCGATCGTCTCAGCCAGCGATGCATCAGGAGACCATTCCTGCAAGCAGAATTCGCAAGCGTTATTGCTTTCCCAAATTCTTGGTAGAGCCGTTTCCCTTGCTCCCTAGACAAGCAGTGTCGCGAATCGAACCGCAAGCATTGTGAGCTGAACAAAGCAAAGACTCAGCTCCCCCCCGGCTTCACCTGCTGGATGTTCCGTGTATAAAGCATTGTTTGTAGCACTGACAACACGGAAGTTTGACCTATCCTCTGGCCCAATTTACCTTTGCCCGCCTCTGCCTCAGCCAGCTCAAGCGCGAGCAGCGACGCCTCAGAGGAGAGCTCTTCGCCCGCTGCCCGCTGCCTTGGGAGGCGGAAGTGTGGCAAATGCAGGTCTTTCACAGGGAACATATAAGACCTTCGCTGGGTCTAAGCAGTGTATACTGCAGAAAAGTGCCGTCTTAAACATAGTTGCAGGCAACAATTAGGCACTCAAATGTTGCTGAAGGCCATGAATTTGCTTGTGTCGCATACAATTATTGTCCTCAGTCGGGATTACCGGCATCTTCAAACAGAAGATCAGAGGCCTAGACTGAAGCTGCTGATGCTGCTGCTGCTGATGGCCAGAAAAGAGAGAAGACCTCAGAGTTGCTGCAGCTATCACTTACTCCAGGATGGAATGAATGCCTCTCTAGTCTAGCAAATACTTGGACCACAGCATCGAATTTCCGCTGCGTGGCCTCGGCATTCCGGCGTCATCACAATTGTTGAGGGAACAACGTCCACCAACAAAAATGGGATCGGTCCTTCAATCTCAAAGCAATCTGCTGCACATTTCTGAGGCGCGCCCATGTGCAGTTGCCCTCTAAGGCCCCCACGGTGGCGGAGGCCCGGTTGGCTTCCGCGAGGCCAGCCAGTCTGCAACGAAATGGATGTTGCTGAAACGGAGTCGAAATGTGGCGCGTCTGAGATGCAGGCTGGCCCAACGCAACACTCCATGGCAGTGAACGAATCGGGCCAAGCTTGCCTGACACCAAGGAAAAGACACTGTCTGACAAGGTTCTGTTCTTGACCAAGCCTCATCATGGGAAACCAGTGCCTAAGCTCATGATCCACCACTGCTTGCATTGCATGTGCAGCCTCGGCAATTCAGCAACTATGGCCGGAGCCCTGCATATCCGACAGCCCAGAAGTGCCGTCTGCAGGGCAGGAGGAGTGCAGCTCTTGTGTTGATCTGGAAAACCAAACCCACTATATCCGATATGATTCTAGGGATAGCAAAACTATCGAAGCATGCCATCTTTAGCCCTTGCCTTCAGGCCATCTGCACCTCCAATTGTGTGCTGAAGCAGTCGCGAAAGCGCTCGAAGCAAAGACGGCGTAAGGCAATCCACCAGCACCTCGCAATACGGAGCTGCCATAACTTTGCAGCTCCAATGGCTATGCAAACTTATGGATCGTGTTCTTTGCACAGTGCTTTGGATATATTTGGCTTGCCGGGTTGTGATCGCTCGGTTTGGATTGCATAGAGTTTCCAGAGCTAGCGGAGAGCCCCGCTAGCCATCCAAGCCACCCACTCACCTACCTTACGCTGATAAGCTAACCGGCCAGCCCTAAGCCACGGCTGCCAAACAAGCCGGCGCTATGCAAAAAAAAGAACTTCGTGCCAAATGGGCACTCTGGTGTCCATACACTCTGGTATCTCTTTGATTCAGGCAAGCAACCGCCATGCATTCCAATCTTTGAGACTCTGCGTAGTGCTGCAAATAACACTTTCCCGCTTGAAACAATTTCTGCTGGAACGTGAAGCTTCGAGAAGCTGAACGGCAGAATGATGTCGACTTCCCGAAGCGGAAGCAAAGTGTCTATCACAAGGGTTGTCTTTTGAAGACATGGGCTCCACCCTCCGCAAGGACTTGTCCGAAGCAACTCTGAGAAGAAAAAAAGAAAAGGTGACGATTTCCCATTTGCAATGGACATGGTGACAAAGTCCTCTGCAACCTGTGGGGCCTGGGGACATCTCACTCTGAAAGCGCTTTAGCATAGAAATGGCACATCAGGCCGAGAAAACCCCATGCCACGCTGGTTGCCAGCTCTCCGGCATCGGCATCGGCCAAAATTGATCACTGCTGGTCTGACACCTTGCCCTTCTCCAACTGCCACCGATGCTTCTTGGCCAGATTCATCAGCTCCTCCAGCGGCACGGATTTTGGGCCTCGCAAACATACACAGGGTGCAACTCATGCTAGATTGGGAGCATTTGCAACGATGCTTGCTCTCAGGCCAAACACTTTGCTAGTCAGTTTTGCTCAAACAACAACGCTTCGATGGGCTCTCACCGCGCGGTTTTTTAACAACGCTTCGATGGGCTCTCACCGCGCGGTTTTTCGGTCCAGAGTTTTCTGTCTGTTCAATGCGTCTTGGGGTTTTTACGCCCACAGACGCTGCTTGTTTTCATCGATGTTCAAATATGCCCTTGGGGCAATGATGATAATGTGTGCGTGAACGTGGATGCTGATCAAGTGGCAGGCATGCACGCAATGATGATAATGTGTGCGTGAACGCGGATGCTGATCATGTGGCAGGCATGCACGCAACGATGATAATGTGTGCGTGAACGTGGGCGCTGATCATGTGGCAGGCATGCACGCAATGATGATAATGCGTGCGTGAACGTGGATGCTGATCATGTGGCAGACATGCACGCAACGATGATAATGTGTGCGTGAACGTGGATGCTGATCATGTGGCAGGCATGCACGCAACGATGATAATGTGCGCGTGAACGTGGATGCTGATCATGTGGCAGGCATGTACGCAATGATGATAATGTGTGCAATGATGATAATGCGCGCATGCACGCAACGATGATAATGTGTGCAATGATGATAATGTGTGCGTGAACGTGGATGCTGATCATGTGGCAGGCACGCACGCAATGATGATAATGTGTGCAATGATGATAATGTGTGCATGCACGCAATGATGATAATGCGTGCGTCAATGTGGGTGCTTATCATGTGGCAGGCGTGCGCTCAGTCATGAAAGTGTGCCCGTGAACGCAACATACGCCCACTGCTCCAAACCCGCGCGCAGGTCGTCAAAAATGGCCCTGAAACCCTTGTTTACAGTGGGAAACGAAACGCGAAAAGCGCGCGGAAACACCCCATCGGAGGGAACAACAAACAACAAACAACAAACAACAAACAACAAACAACAACGCTTCGATGGGCTCTCACCGCGCGGTTTTTCGGTCCAGAGTTTTCTGTCTGTTCAATGCGTCTTGGGGTTTGTACGCCCACAGACGCTGCTTGTTTTCATCGATGTTCAAATATGCCCTTGGGGCAATGATGATAATGTGTGCGTGAACGTGGATGCTGATCATGTGGCAGGCATGCACGCAATGATGATAATGCGTGCGTGAACGTGGATGCTGATCATGTGGCAGACATGCACGCAACGATGATAATGTGTGCGTGAACGTGGATGCTGATCATGTGGCAGGCATGCACGCAACGATGATAATGTGCGCGTGAACGTGGATGCTGATCATGTGGCAGGCATGTACGCAATGATGATAATGTGTGCAATGATGATAATGCGCGCATGCACGCAACGATGATAATGTGTGCAATGATGATAATGTGTGCGTGAACGTGGATGCTGATCATGTGGCAGGCACGCACGCAATGATGATAATGTGTGCAATGATGATAATGTGTGCATGCACGCAATGATGATAATGCGTGCGTCAATGTGGGTGCTTATCATGTGGCAGGCGTGCGCTCAGTCATGAAAGTGTGCCCGTGAACGCAACATACGCCCACTGCTCCAAACCCGCGCGCAGGTCGTCAAAAATGGCCCTGAAACCCTTGTTTACAGTGGGAAACGAAACGCGAAAAGCGCGCGGAAACAACCCATCGGAGGGAACAACAAAGACTGCCTTCAGAATCTGCACACATGAACAGCAATATGAGTTGGCATCACTGGCGATCGGCTCGGCTGTAGCTCAGTCCCCGACGCTCGATCGGCAGTCCAATGGCTCGCGACCAAATGTACTGAGCCATGACTCCCAATGTTCGAGAGACTGCGAATGTCACCTTGGAATGGCCACAGACGGAATGCCAAAGGGGTGCTACGGTGCGGTCATGCGGTGGCTCGGCACCAGACGGTATAGAAGTTCTGCTCCTTGAGCTTGTAGAAGTTCATGAGCTGACCACTGTGGGCGTCTACGTTGGGGAAGGGGTTCTTTACCTGACAGGAATGTGACGTACGTGCGAGAATTACAATGCTACATGGCCTTGCCCTGCTTCTCCAGGACTGGAGGGATTGCTTGGTAACAAGCGTCCACCAATTGGAAAAGGGGATCCTGCCCAACGCAAATGCTGCCTAGCACTGTGACTAGATCCTGGGCCTGACAACCTTGCCATGGCAGGACTGGAGTCCTCGGAACAGTGAGTCAAGGCGAACTCCCGCTCCAGCATGTATCGCCTAGAAAAGTGCTTGAACTGGTCGGCAAACATCTCAAGCACTTGACAATGACGGTTAACCTTGTCTGTCAAGGGCTGCTTCTTTGCCAAGCAGCGGATCAGTGTTCCTCAACACCGCATGTCCAAATCCAGGAATGACCTGGAAGAACCAGAAAGCCACAAGTTGTCAAGGATTCTATCCTGCACCGATGCCTTGCCCTCCTTCAGGGTTTTGTTTGCGAAGTCCGTCAGCAACTCCTGGGCACAGGTCGTGCATCGAATCGAGTCACAAGCATTGCAAGGCAATGCAGAGCGGGCAGCGCCTTCGTCGGCCTTTGGCCACCCAGCTGCTTCTGAACATCGAGAAGCCAGGACAAGCACTCCTGAAGCCGCAAGGGGCTGACTCAATCTAGCGCAAGGTATGATCTCAGCTGGTCTGTCTACAATGGCTGTGTGCCCTGGATTCGCAATGCGATCGGATCATCCTGATTGGCGAGACCATGAAGCGGCCCGGCAAGACCTGATCTGGCGACGACCATGCACATGTGCTATGTTTGTTCTCGCGCCATATTCGCACAGTGCACGAGAAATCGATTCAAAGGTGCTGCCCATGGTCTGAATTTCCCTGATCAGTCCATCATGTTGGATTTAAAAGGCTCCCACTACGCCCAGCACGGCAAATTCAGTGCAACACGCGTTTCAAACACAAATCCGCATGGGACACAACGTATTCAGGTGGTCATTTCTAGTCAGAGCAAAGCATGCTCAGATGCATTGGGACAGCCAACACAATACGTGAATCCTAGTCGGCGCAAAATTGCAACGACTTCTCTGCATAGAGATCCGCATGGCAAAGAAAACACCAGGCTGACAAGCTGACAATCAAACTTAATTTAGACCTCTGTGGCAAGTCCACCACAAGCCGAGCAGCCGCACAAGCCGGCGGCCCAAGCATAGTAGGGATCACTCAATGCGGAGCCCACTAAATGGGTCGTATGTGCCGAGACATTGCCACCTTCCTCAGAGAAAACGTTCAAACAAAGAACATGCTGACGCAAGTAGACACGCCTTTCAACAAACATGGTTGAGCTCCGCACATGGTCTGCATGCAGCATGAGGTACAGGCGGACTGCCTCTTTGAAACCTTCATCCTGGCACAGTCAAAGCACTCAGCATCTCCTGATGCCTGCTGCATCACCACAAATCTTTCCCACCTGGTTGACGCCAAGCATCTGGGCAAAATTGGCCTCAAGCACATGCATTCTGATGGCAGCCCGAGCAATTCAGGTTCTTTCAAGCGTTGACATTCTGCATGTCACTGGTAAGGCATTGGCTGCCCAATCCAGGTTTGAGTCATATGCCGGAACCACACCATCCTGCAAGCAGCATCGACAATATCATGTTGTGGCAGGATGCCACAAAGACTCACGCAAGCACAATCACAAGGCCATCAGGCTGCAACACTCACGCATAACCCAATCAAAACCCTTCTTCATTCAAAAGGAGCTGGGTCAGCTGCTTCTTGCCGGAAAGGTGTGGCCGCATTTCTGCTCTATCGAGGTGAATGTGCTCATTGCACCCACTCTTTGCTACAGCAAGGCGACCAATGTCAGCCCATCTGGCTTGTACAGCCACCAGCAATGAATGCTGCTCAATGTATTCAGTCCATTTGCATGCAGACCAAATTGATGAACACTTATTCGCCTCGGCCCCAAGGGCACCCCCCCCGCCCCACAATTTTGGGGGTTCGTTGGCATCCAGCTCCATGGGCCCATTTCTGTCGCAAATGCGTTGGGAATGGCAAAACTCCAAAAAATAGTCTGCTGGCCAGGCCTGTCTGACGAGTCTGAGACTAGCCTCACAGCACAGCCCAACCACAACCCGCCCAAGGAAGGCCCAGCCCAGCCGCAGGCCTCAACGCCAACCAGCAG